TCGGGTCCCCACGTTAAAAACTGACCTTGTGTCACAATCTGACTCAGTGCGGAGTCAACTAATCACTGTATATATTTGTGCGGGGAATGTGTAAATTCATCTCTTGAGGGGTATACACATTCGGATCCTCTCCGGTCACAGGGATCCGTTCCTGTGCTGGTTGTATCACGGCTACGACTGGCTTGGACCAGCTATAACAAGCCAAGACTAGCTATGACTAGCTTAAACCATCTCTGACCAGCTTGGACAATCTATGACCAGCTAAGACCAGCGGCCCGAGTGAAAAACACTCGGGTCCCCACGTTAAAAACTAACCTTGTGTCACAATCTTATTCAGTGTTTCAAGTAAATATCATATAAATTTACCGGGGGAATGTGTAAATTCTGCTCTTCAGGGGTATACACATTCGGATCCTTACTGGTCACAGAGATCCGTTCCTGTACTGGTAGTATCACGGTTACAACTGGCTTGGACCAGCTATGACAAGCCAAGACCAGCGATGACTAGCTTATATCAGCTCTAACCAGCTTGGACAAGCTATGATCAGCAGTCCGAGTGAAAACACTTGGGTCCCCACGTTAAAATCTGACCTTGTGTCATAACCTCACTCAGTAGGGGGTCAAGTAAATACCATGTAAATTCCTTCTTGGAGGAGTGTACTCATTTGGATACTTACCGGTCACAGGGCTCCGTCCCTGTGCTCGTGGTATCATGGCTACGGCTAGGTTAGACCAGATATGACAAGCCAAGACCAGCTTAGACCACCTTAGACCAGCTCTGACCATCTTGGACAAGCTAAGACCAGCATAGACCAGCGGCTCGAATGAAAACATTCGGTCAACGTTAAAAACTGACCTTGTGTCAAAAACTGACTCAGTGGGAGGTCAAGTAAATACCGTATAAATTTGCGGGGGTTGTGGGGAATTTTTGTCCCTTGTCCAAGTGTAAGCGCTCGGGTCCCCACTTTAAAATGACCTTGTGTCATATCTCGTTCTGGTTGGGGAACGAGTAAACACTGTGTATAAATTACTATAAAGTTGTGTTAAACATAGCTTAACCCCTGCTCAGACTTAATTTAACTCTTCGTTTTTTGCCCTCAGTTTTTTTTCTCTTTAGGTTTAACTTAGCTTGAGGATGTTTGCTCATTGGCCACCTTTTATTTTATGTCCCTATTGTTCTTTGGTTTAGTTCCCCATGCTCTCCCTCGTTAGGTGGTCAGTTCGCTGGTGAGTGCGGGGTGCCTCTCGTCTCAGTTGTGTCTTTCGTATTTGTTGTTGTGTCTGAACGAGTGCATGTTTGTGTGAATGATTGGATGAATGAATATTTTATATGATTAAAGTCCCGCATTGATTTCGTCCAGCTAACTGATATTTCTGCCACATTTAGAGACTCTGGGGGGTTTTATTACTAACATTTATTTTTTTGTTTAGTTTTTTGTAAATAGTTTTGTACATCTTTGTAAATAATCATTGGGGCAAAATTTGTTGTTTTATTCCCCTTTCCTCACAGACAATAAATTGTACATAGGAGATCTAGTTAGGACTTTCATAGAGACAATGAGGTATTATGGTGGGTGTAGTAAGAAAGAATGTGTTGTTTTGGTGTTAGAAATATTGTCGTATGTTTGGGTCAGTGTTTATGGCTAGCTAACTTTAAAGTTAAGATAGATGAATTCCCATTTCGCCATTCCTCCTATTGACCTTGTGCCACATTTTGTATTTATACAAATAAATATCGTATATATAAAATAGAATTGGTGCCTTTTAACTCCCGAATTCGTTGGAAAATAGCGCTTCAATTTCGCATTTATTCATATAGATTCCATAATATAGGTTTTACTTAATTAGCTATTATGTTTCTCAAATATTGAATGTATAACTAATTCTAATTTCTATTTTCCCATCTTTACACTATATTAATTTTATCTTCTAAATTATCTCCTGCTCTGTCACCCATGAAATAGAAATAATTGTTTGTACGGAAAGTAAGGACCTACATACATCAAGCCGTCTTTAAATTAAGTGGCAGCGGAAGAATTATCGTCGAACTTTTAATAGGTAAGCTTAAACATTAATTCAATACTTAAATGCAGCAATTAATTTTAAATTCTTCTGCAGATTGTCGATGCCTATTGTATCTATCTATTGAGATGATGACAAAACCAAGAGTCCTCCACGAGAGCTAGCATAAATGCCACCCAATAGGGCGGCATTTAAGTTAGTTTATAATAAAACATGCACTGTAATTTTGGATACAAAAAGAAAATAAGAGTTACTCCCCTTGAACCATGAAAGCAAAATGATAATAACTAATATAATATATCAATATATATTTTTAACCTCGCATAATCTGGCAACCTTTAATATGAGCTTAGCGAAAATCGATTTCTGCGCCTAAAATTTCTAAGGTTTTTCAATGAATTATGTATCATTGAACTCGGACCAGTGGGCGCAGAGGAGTTTCTTGGACACACATACATACACTGTACTTTATATATAAGATTGATATTACAACGACACAAAAAAGATTAAATAAATAAAGCATAAATGCAGTATATTGTCAGTCGTTTAAATTTTAAATAATAATCTTGCCATAACGATGTTGGCGGCCTTTGATAACTTAAGGCTTAATTCTAAATATTTGTCCCCTACCGCAACATTTGTCACTTCTACGGCCCTGATATATATATATATATATATATATATATATATATATATATATATATATATATATATTTAATTATTTATTTAAAAAATATGATTCCAAAACGTGACATAAGAAGTCTCATGTTTCAAAACAAGAGCCGAAAACTTCAATATAATTATTTAAATTAAATTGAGTTAAAGTAAGCTCTGTTCCATCTTCAAGCGAAATTTTTGGAATAACGTATATCTGAAATTTACGTGTTTTAAGAATTGAAATCAAAATTTCCATAGTAACAGCTAGGGCGAATTGTTTAAATTGGGTAGGCGAGTGTTGGGTGTTAATAATAAGTATCAGTATAGTTACTTTCATAGATGTCAAGTCAGGGAAAGGTAGGGGTGTCTAAATTTTAAACGGAAGATGTATTGACCCTCGTCTAGTTTGCATGTCTATGGAGATTTATTTATTTTTTTATTTTATTTTTTTATGAAAGGGATTTGAGCATATAAAAAAAAAACTGTCGTAACGTTTGTTTTTTGACGACTTCATAAAGGGTTATATTTTTTGTAGGGTATTTAAACTATTTATTTAGGCTATGGATTATGAAGGGTGTTATATATATATATATATATATATATATATATATATATATATATAAGGCAGGATGTCTGTGTGTGTGTAACGAATGTACGGCCGCAATTTTCGACGGATTTGCACCAAAATTTACATGCACATTTACAAGTTAGCGGGAGGTAAGGCCAAGACCGACTTTGCATTTCCCAACTCCCATCGATAGTAGAAATAATCGATTTTTTCATGCTTCTACGGCAGTTTTCATGTAGTTTGCGGCCATTTTCTACTGGCCAGAGTGAGACCCTATAGCTGGCTGCCACGAATAGGCTGGAAAATTCTATCGGCCAGCGTGAGAGCCAACAGCTGACAGACACGAATGTTAACTAGCATGCTAGCATGTAAAAAAAATCAATAGCTGCATTCGTCACAAGTGGGAAAAATTTAAATCTGCATGGCGCTTTACTCCAACTGGCTCATTCGCTTGCTTAAACTCAACGTTGATTCTGATTCCGCAGAACTGGTTTGCGTGTAAAAAATGTATTTGTTGTTTACATTCTTTTTTCATTCGGTTTTTCCAGTTACGAGTCCTTTTTTTTAAAGCTGATCGTTTTGTGTTCATTTTGTTTAGTTCTATTTTCGTAACAGATTTAATGTTTAGTATAGAGCTTCGAAAAAAATTCGCAGTGTGAGATAGGCAAGAAGTAAGGCATGTAGCAACATCAGCACGGAAAAGGGCACTACTTTAATGGCAAGGAAAGGCAAAAATATTTTAAGTCAAGTGATAGCGATTTCTGTATGAGTCGTACGATTTTTGAATCAAGCACGGGCAACGCCGGGCTATGCTGCTAGTATATATATATATATATATATATATATATATATATATATATATATATATATATATATATATTCTGTTTATCTATAAAAATAACGTATAAACGGAACATTATTGTCGGTGTTAATTCATTTCATAATATGTTGTCATTGTCTACGTTAAGATATCTTTCTTGGGCCAAAATGATCGTTCGGGAAAGATAATAGAAGGCGTCTGTGTTTATAAACAGTAATGATGACTTTACAAACCAGACGTTTCTTTGTGGCTGAACAGCACGTCACATCAAATGATGTCTTCCCCATAAGGTTTATAGGTTCGATTCGTGTCGGAGAAGCGCATATTTTCTACGAAATTCTACAAACATTCAGGCCGGTAAATGCAAATAATGATGTTTAATTAAAATAACAAAGCATTTACATAAATATATTATTTCTTTAAAAATGACGTATGAAGGGAAAATATTATATATGTATGGTATTTTCCAATATATTACATGCAACATTAAGTAATAAATTCTTATTCTCTATAACTTTTTTCTGTTTTTGAAGAACCCATTTTGATCCCACAACTTTTGGCACCATCTTTGTATATACATATATATATATATATATATATATATATATATATATATATATACCTTAAGCATATAAATACAGAAATATAGGAAACTCTATGACCATCGGAAGAGGCTGACATTCAGGCACTCTTTAAGGATTTGAAAGAAGTGGCTTTTCTCATGTCAGTTCAAACAATCCAAATTTGTTTGAGCATATTTTAACATCCGTTGTGATCAGGCCAATTGACGACAAGATTTTGTCTTCAGGTAAGTTTCCTTGCACTTTCCATGGCAGACATTCTGTCTCCCACCTTCAGCTACATCCACCCTCCAGCCTCTATAACTTTTAACGATTGCAACACTAAGACATGATGACCATTTCTGGTATAGAGTTGCTGTCAGTGCAAGGTTCGTTGGCAGGAACTTAATCGAACAAAAGGCCTCTCCCCCTCTCTCTCTTTCTCTCATTCTTTCTCTCGTTCTCTCTCTCTCTCTCTCTCTCTCTCTCTCTCTCTCTCTCTCTCTCAGTCCATTCTTTCTACAAAAGGAAATTTGGCTGCCTAGCCGGCTGGTTGGCGTTGTCGGGAGAGATTCCATCGGACAATGAGCTCGAAAAGCAGGGGTTGTGAAAAATTACGCTTTTATTGCTAGGGCCTCTTAAACAGGCTCATCAGATCTAGAGGCGTCAGAGGCAAGTATTGCTGACCCAGACACCAGTTAGAATTCAGAGAATGAATATAACTAGCATTATCAGCCACACGGAAGGACTTCCGGCTTCTTGCATGACAGCTACCAACAGAACAATGAGCGATCGCGCGAAAAAGACGAAACTAGGCGCGACTTCTTTTGAAGTCTGCTTTACCAACGACAACGTTTCAATGCAAACGCATCGGCCATATTACGCCCAATATCCTTCCTCGACCAATAAATCTTGCTCGTTTCTCCACTCTTTCTTCAAACAGAAGTGATATGCAAGTGTGGTCAGTAAGTGGATACTGATGTGAATAGAATATGCTTATTATTGGCTTCAGAGAGTAAAAAATGGGGTTGGCATTGGTTAAGAATTGGTTTGCTTTTTCTGGCATTAGATATGGAGATGTGATTTTTTTTTATTTTTGCCTCATTTACTTTGGTGTTGAAGAGTCATATTTTATATCGGTCGGCAGACCAAATACTTATGACAAAAGTAAGAAGTATGGAATCAACCTCCCACACACTCCTTCGCAAAAAAAAAAAAAAAAAAGATATAAAGAAAAAGAAACTCCTCTAGGGAGAACTGGCATTCTAAGTGTAGAATATTGAAAAAGTGACTGAACTTGGATGAACGATCCAGATATCTCTACAGCCATTGATCATATCGGATCAGTAGAAATGAATGAGGAATTTAGTTCATAATAGATCTCATAGTAAGAAGAAAAAAAATCTTCTTTCATGAGCACAAAAGCGAATAGATAATAAAAATAAATTATTTCAACGACTTCTTCCACTATAGTATAAATATTTTGCAATATAAGCATGTTTGGGAGAATAAAGAAAAGAAAATAATGTCTTTATATATATATATATATATATATATATATATATATATATATATATATATATATATATATATAAAGCTTGTTCTGGCTACAATAATTAAGACTGAGTAATGAGTTCGATCCTCACTGGATGCCCCATACTTTTGGCCTTGTGCCACATCTAAGCTACGCTTGGAAAATCACTATATGTATTAAATGAATGAATTAATTATGTTGTTTGTTTCTTTATTTGCATATCTACTTTTTATGAGACATTTAATAACGAAATTTAATTCTCTGGGTAGCATTAATAATTTCTTTTACAGCAATGTTTTTCTAGTATTTTTTTCTTCAAAAGATGCATTGCTGGAAATATTTTTTTCAGAAATTGCAGTGCTGGTAATTTCTTTTCAAAAAATATATTGTTGGTAATTTTTTTTTTTAACAAAATTGTATTACTGGTAATTCTTTTATTTTTAACAAAATTTTATTGCTGGTAATTTTTTGACTATGAAAACCTATTGCTGGTATTTTTACTATAAAAATGTTTATACTTTCAGAGTCTTTTGATCCCAGTTTAGCGGTTAGATAACAACAACATAAATATAGGTACTTCCATGAGACCGCTGAAAAAAAGAGCATAGCATGATGAAAAAGACGCCAAACTTGATGAAAAAAAATTTTTATCGTCTAAATGTTTACGTTATTACTAAGAGGAAAGACCAAATTTAATTAAGAGCAAAGTATTTTGGGGAATCCTTTTACATTTTTTTAATCGTTCCTAGCACGTCCGAAATTTTCATTACAAATGTTTTTGTTTTTTTGAGTCAGCAAAATTGAAAGATAATCAATCATATCAGTCATTTTTTTCCATTTTATATAAAAAAAAATGAAAATCTCACTTTCAAGTTCTTTTAAAATTCAATTATAATTTTTTCAAAACTTATTTTAAGAAAATTAGAAATTATAATATTAACTTAAAATATTTTGAAACACGTATTGACAGCTTACGTGAGGAAAAGGTACCTTGCGGTGATATAATTATTTAGATTTAATTGAACAAATTATTTACCTCAATATTTTTACGGAAAAATTTCAGCGCTCTAATTTTTTTCGTTTCTTTTTTTGTACTTACCTTTCACCTTCACGTTTACGATGCTTTATGGAAATTATATTAAAAAAATATTAAAATAAGCCTGTTGATTAAATTTCATAAGAAAGGTATCTAATTAATTTATAGGTACCTTTCTTATGAAATTTTATCAGAAGTGTACATAAAATACTATAATTTTATGTACATTTATTACATTTTACTGTATTATTTGTATTTCCATTCATTTTATTATTAATTTTGATATTTCATTCATGGAAAAATGTCATAAAATATATAAAAATAAGATCATATAAATTTCATTAGATGATACTAATACTTGTAGGTACCCTTCTCAGTTGAAAAATCAAATTAACTTCTCCACACGTGTTTCGCAAAAATAAAGGCTATAACAGCGGAGAATATTGCTTAACTCAAATAACACGACGGGCACCTCGGCGTGGTGTAATGGTTAGCAAGCTTGTCTCGCTAGAACAATTACGACGGAGTAGTGAGTTCGATCCTCACTTGGTTCTACATACTTCCGGCGCTTAGAAAATTACTAGGGCACCTCGACATGATGTAATGGTTAGCAAGCATCCCTAGCTAGAACAATTACGACTGAGTAGTGAGTTCGATCCTCACGGGTGCCCCATACTTTCGGCCTTGTGCCACATCTAAGCTACGCTTGGAAAATCCCTAACTCAGATAACGCGACAATTGTATTCTTGCTGGTCTTCCGTACTTTATAATTACAGCCGTATTATGCACACAAATTTACGTTTCTTAATTGCTGCGGGTCTTCTGATTGGTCGAAACAATGAAAGTTACAATGCAGTAAAAAAGATCTCTCATAAGGACATTCACGAAACTGAATGCGGCTTCCATTTTATAATATTTTAACAACTTAAATGTAAAAATAAAAAAATAATTAAAAAAATAACAAAAATAGTATTAAAAATTCATTTTACATCGAAAAAGTTTTTTTTTGCTTTCAGAAAATACTGTCCATATTCATAAAAACAACTAAAAGCAAATGAAAGCATTTGAAATTAAATAATATCTTTTATTTTATTTAGTTTTGTATGTTATAATTCAGAGCTGATTTTCAGTTGGGGGTGTGCGGTCCAATTAAAAAAAAATGATTTGCTTTCCTCAAAGCCTTGTACTTTTAACTAATATAATCACTAAACTGAATGCTATTGAATTGAGTTTTCATAATATTAGTTAGGGGCGGGGGGGATATAAATATAAAAAATATTTTTGCCATGACTTTAAAAAAGAAAACATATTTATAATAATTTATATTATTTGTGAATAGTCTATGAAATTTTCATTAACATCCAAAATTTTTATTTTTGCTAGATTTTCCAAATTAATTTCTGTCATACAAAAAACAAACAAAATAAACACAAATGCTAAACATTGTCTATGTTATTTTACTAGTTCCGGTGATACAAAGAGAAACAAGGTTTTTTTTAATCAAAATGTAGAATGTTCTAAAAAGAAGGAAAATTTTTTTAAAAATAATTAAAAAAACTTTGGTCTTTCCTCTTAACATTTAGACGATAAGATTTTGTTTTCGTCAAGTTCCGCGTCTTTTTCCTCATGCTATGCTCTTATTTTTTTTAGCAATCTCAGGCAGGTACCTAAGTAAGAGGTAGTTTCATGCTCCGATCAGAGGCCTTTCTGCCTGTAAGATGTTGTTTATAGTCATATCCAAGACGGAAAGAAAAAGGTAGAGATCTAAAAAAAATAATATTAATCTATCTATCTATCTATGTTAGTTGTTTCTTTCTTTTTTCTTTCTTTCTTTCTTTCTTTCTTTCTTTCTTTCTAACTATTTATCTATCTATCTATTTATGTCAGTTGGTTCTTTCTTTCTAACAATGTCAGTTGGTTTCTTTCTTTCTTTCTTTCTCTCTCTCTCTCTTTCTTTCTTTCTCTCTTTCTTTGTCAGTTCGTTTCTTTCTATCTATCTATCTATCTATCTATCTATCTATCTATCTATCTATCTATGTTAGTTGGTTCCTTCCTTCTTTCTTTCTTTCTTTGTCAGTTGGTTTCTTTCTTTCTATCTATCTCTCTATCTATCTATGTCATTTTTTCCTTTCTTTCTTTCTCTCTCTCTCTCTCTCTATCTATCTATCTATGTCATTTGTTTCCTTTCTTTCTTTCTTTCTTTCTTTCTCAGCAAATAACAGGTAAGTATATTAAAGGTAAATATTTTCAGGGCAAATGATTTCTAGAAATCTGTGACCTTCCCGGTAAGACACGGGCCGTTTTATGCTTTAATTTATCTCTTATAAAAATTTTGTTATAAATCGAAATAGAGAAAATCGTATAAATAACGCGCAACGGTTACGTGTATCAATCACTTGCATGCTCACACACACACACACACGCACGCTCACACACGCACGCACACACATACATATATATAATCGTGAATATTGGAATCAAAACCTTAAGGCCACAGTCTGTTTCATGTTAAACGTAATCGTCAGGCCATATGTGTTTTTTTTTATTCGACTGCTTATATATACTGGTCAGTGATGCATTTAAGGTTGACTATTGTTTTATTCCAATGGTTTTTTTCGGGGTAACAGTTATGTTTTGAATATTCTAGGGGCTATTGAGTTGGGATAATTGTGGATCGGGATGCAGTTTTAGGGTATTTATAGTGTTTAGACGATAAAATTTTGTTTTCGTCCAATTCCGCGTCTTTTTCCTCATGCTCTGTTCTGCTCCCTTTTTTTTTTTAGCAATCTCATGAAGGTCCCTAAGTAAGAGATGGTTTCATGCTCCGATCAGAGAGTCCTTTCTTCTTGCAACATGTTGTTTATAGTCATATCCAAGATGGAAAGAAAAAGGTAGAGATCTAAATAAATAATATAAATGCATCTATCTATCTATCTATCTATCTATCTATCTATCTATATATATATATATATATATATATATATATATTTCCAAGAGGATAGAACCCAGGTAGAGCTCAATGTCCAGGACAGAGCAAGAATATAATATAAAAAGCTCAAACACTAATATTCCATAGTTATAATTTATTACAGTGGAATCGTAATCATGATCCAATTCATCAGAACTACAAATTCAAAAAGAAATCAGAAAATATAACTCCGAGTATAAAAAACAAGATTTCAGTGAGAGTGTATGTGAGGGAGTGGGAAACAAGAGTGAGAGGGAAATATATGAAACCTCTAGAGAGGGGTGTAAAGGAAGAAGTAGAACAGGAAAGGCTTAAAGATGATGGCGGGAATTAAAATTTAAAAGAGAGAAGTTTTGAAGAGAGAAGTTAAAGAACGGTTTAAATAAGAGACAGATATATATGAATTATTCTCAGATGCATAAATAACTACCAATTTGCTGAATAAAATTAAAAAAAAAAACAGACACTGGAAAAGTGTGGATACATTTGCGGTGACATTTGGCACAATAAAAGATTCTATGATCCAAATTTAAAATCTACCTAATTCACCCTGCCCATGTATACCGATTGTAAGATCAAAATTGCCCAGATCGTGAAATCCTGTAACAGCATAATTGTCCATCACACAAAATGTTTAAAATCTAAAAATCCACTAAACTAGTTGAGTTTCCTTTTTCAGGTTTTCATATGAGACGTTTAGTCATCTTATGTCGTAAAAATCACTGAAAAACCTTTTTGAGTTATTCAGATAAAATCCTGTACAAAATATCTGTTTTTTGAAAGCGTAAAATTACATTAAGAATATTTAGAGTTGGTCATTAAATAACCCATAGAGATGTTGATATGCCGCCAAACAAAATCAATCAACCAATCAACGAACACTTTTTATATAATATTCTACGGTTTGGGTACCTCGGTGTGGCGTAATGGTTAGCAAGCTTGTCTTGCTGAATTCAATTAACAACTGTGTAGTGAGTTCGATCCTCATTGGATGTCCCGTACTTTCGGCCTTGTGCCACAGCTAAGCTTAGAAAACATTATTAAATCCTACAATTATATTATTATATCCTACAATTTCTTAAATACCTCCAACTCTATTCCAAAATTTAAAAAAAAAATGCTGCATAAAAAACACATTTCACCGCTTCTAGTAAACATGTCCACAGAAACATCTATATGCATCTAAGTTAAGTATCATCTACGTTATACTCAAGTGTGAAAGCAAAATAATATATATCATTTTTATTACTTCAAAACTCTCAAGAAAATTAAATTTTGACATCAAATGACCCATAACGCGTTGATGCAAACAAACAAACAAATAAAAAAATATCTCTTATTTCCAGATATCTAAGTAACTCTTGCTTAATGTTAGAGGAAAGGTTCTTTTTAAAGTTGACCCAGGTCTCTATAGTTTGTGCATTCAACACTTATACTTAACATCAGAAAGAGGAAGTTGGAATCTGCAATGCATACAACGAGGAAAGAGGGAATAGAAAGTTTTACGATCATGGGGACATGTATAAGGCAATAGTGACAGATGAGAACAGCATATAGCCTATCTTGTATAGCCTATCTTGTTTAACCTAGCTTGTAGGAAAGGTTGGCAGGTCTGTGATTAGGAGAGATTGTAAAAAGAAAAGAAAAAAACTTTACTAAGAACTACAAAGGACAGGGTATTGTGGAGAACTCCATGATCACCAACATCCCGAAGAGACACAACGCATACAAAAGACTGTTGCTCTTGCTCACTAGAACAAACGTAATTTTCGGGCCCTATACTGAAATTCGAAGGCGCATTGTGTTAGCCAAAGATACCTTCTAAAATCTAAGCAATATAAAACCAGAAAGCTGGGTGATGGAAAGACACTGAAGTTATTTATTTGTACAGTGTAACCCGGATATAACCCGGATATAAGAGACTTCTTCTCCGGTCCCGACAACTCTTATATTCGGGTTACACTGTAGTATAATGTTAGATACAAAGTTATGGATAATCTTTAAAACGATTTTGACATCCATTTTATTTTTTCTGAAGTTGTCAAAAGTCAATCTAAAAGAATTTCATTTCATTTTATAACAGCAACATAAGTATTACCCCCCCATAAGTATTACGCCCCCCACAAAAAAAAAGTTGAGTGTGATGACAAGCATCACCAAACCAGCGCTTTTTATGGAAATTGTTTTTCTTTTTTTGTTTTTTTTTTATAGGTTATTTAATGCTGAAATTTTGTATGCTATGTTATGCCTTCAGCTACAGATATTTTGTATATAATTTTATACTATATATAACTTTTAGATAATCTATTGTAAGTGGTTATGTGTTTCTTTATGTTAGAAGATTATGTTGACAGGTTTAGTATTTTCATATCGTTTTCCGTGGAGTATTTGTGTCTTACGGCTGCTAAGTGAACATATTCAGTTAAAATGTGTTTTACCGTGAATATGGAATCTGAAATATCTTCTTGAAGTTTCCCGCTTAATAAATTGTATTTATACAATATCCACAAAGCTCCATTGCTGTCCTAATATGCTTTAATTACTTTTCGAATACCTGTGTTTTAGATATAAGAAAACGTGTAATAGAAGTTTACAAAATTTCTGTATAAACAACCATTTCAACACCTACTTTCTAAAGACCTATTTGTCGTTATAATAATCCGATTTCAGTTTCCTACTCTGGACATAGATACAGAAAGCTCTGCCTCGAGAGAAACTTTTAAGAAATTTTCTAATGTTTGCATTAATAATAAAAAAGAATTGTCCTGGGTATTACGATAATCTACATCCGCCAGCAAGGTATCAGGAGGTTTCAAGGAGTGTGACACCACCTCTTAATTAACCCCCAAACTGGGGCAAAACAATATGAAAGTGTAAAAATAGGTTTTCATACCAGTAATATATGTTTGTAAAAAACTATTACCAGTAATACATTTTTGAAAAAATAAATTACCAGCAATACATTTTTGTAAAAAATTATTACCAGCAATACATTTTTGTAAAAAATTATTATCAACAATAAATTTTTGAAAAAATAAATTACCAGCAATACATTTTTACAAAAAAATTATTAACAGTAATACATTTTTGTAAAAAATATTACCAGCAATACATTTTTGTAAAAAAATATCACCAGCAATACATTTTTGAAAAAATAAATTACCAGCAATACATTTTTGTAAAAAATATTACCAGCAATACGTTTTTGTAAAAAAATATTATCAACAATAAATTTTTGAAAAAATAAATTACCAGCAATACATTTTTACAAAAAATTATTACCAGCAATACATTTTTGTAAAAAATATTACCGGCAATACATTTTTGTTAAAACTTATTATCAACAATAAATTTTTGAAAAAATAAATTACCTGCAATACATTTTTACAAAAAATTATTACCAGCAATACACTTGTGAAAAAAAATTACCAGCAATATATTTTCGAAGAAAAGAAAAATATTACCTACAATAAAAATCTTGTAAGCATTAAATAAACCATTGAGATTGATATGTTATAATATAAAACAAACAAATAAAACAGAAATTCAGCAAACTTACTATTTTGTCACTTGTTTAATTAATGCAAGTCTGTTTTAAGTAAATCTAATTGAACAGATTATTTTGACAACTATTTAGATATGTCAATATTTTTACGCTCCGCTTGTATAATTTGTAATAATGGGAAATGTCCGACTACAACAATCGTTACGAAGGCTGCACTGCCGGATATTTAATTATAGAATTTTATTAAAAAAATTAATATTTAAAAAAAAAATGTTTATTTTATTTAGCCAGTCTGTTTCTAAACAAGTTAAGCTAAGATTCTATTTGTCATCCATTTTATTTACATGTAAACATAGATATTTTTGTAGCAAATTACGGCTGACTTTTGAGAAGTCAGGTATAAATCATTTGTATACAAACACGGTTAACTTAAGTAAAAAAAAAAACATTATCGACAGAAACTTTGCTTATATATGGGACATTTTAAAATTTGAATTAAAATAAATAACACAGAAAAATATTTATTAAAATATGTTTTTAAACTCGTTAGGAAAATTAAATATTACGGTTTATCTTTTAAAAGCAATTTTTTTAATAATACAATAAACGTTGACATAATTCCGAAAGCAGATTTTAAATTCATCCCTGTAATAATATTACAAAATATGCTTTGTTCTACTGATATAAGACATGAACATACACAATTATACGAATTTATAAATGATTATATTATATTTTCATTGAACCTA